TTGCAATTAATTCCAGTTGGTAAAAAATCTATAGAAGAAAATAATTTTTATAATCTTGCAATTAATTCCAGTTGGTAAAAAATCTATAGAAGAAAATCATTTTTATAATTTTGCAATTAATTCCAGTTGGTAAAAAATCTATAGAAGAAAATCATTTTTATAATTTTGCAATTAATTGCAATTTGTAATGAATTCCTTGGATGAATGAGAATTTGGTTATTGATATTAAGTTGATAAAGACAGAGCATGAGTAGAAACTTAAACGGTGCCATGAACCAGGTTTACGACTTTATTATCTCCACGCAACAATAGAGTCAACGACGGATTTTACAGGGCAATTAGAATTGTCTATGACTTCCCTTTGGTATAATACCTTGACATTTATAGCCCCGCTATTACAGCCGGCTTTTAGTTACACAAGATCGTACCGCTATCGCGGCAAATGCGTAATTGTACCTTATGTCACGCTGGAACAGTCGTTTATCAGTCGGACTGCCAGCCACGAGTCGTCAGCGACGATTCGCCCGACGTAAACCGGAAACAAATTTTCTCTTACGAATTTCTAAAAAGAATGTCTACAATTAAATTAATCGAATAGAATAATAATAAATCCTCGATTTTCATTATTATTATTATTATTATTGTTATTATCGAATGGCTGAAGGCTCTTCGAGGAGAGTAAATCACACCATTGGACGTCGATGAGACGTTGCTTAATGCGATCGAAATTTTCTTCACGGGCATGAAATACAGACGGAATAAAAAAGAGGCACGAAGAGATTTATGACGTCTTCGTCTCCGACGACGGAAGTCGTGTGTTTCAAGAAAGTGGCTCGGTGTTCATCACGCAAAAACGGGTCGAACAAATAGTTGGACTTTCGCGAGAAATAAACTTCTCTCGGCTACGGTAAAAACTTGAAATATCCATCGGCGTTTATCTTTAAACAATTCCTATAAAAGTTGCTCTTTAAAAAATAAATACTGTCTTTAAAAAGAGAGAGAGAGAGGAGCGATATATTGCTAAAATAATAATGGAAATTCCGAGTACGTTTGTAAAACTGCGATGCTGTTTGCAAAAAAGGATTATATGAATACGAATTACGTGAGTTACACGAGTATCGAAAAAATGAGTTATGCGACTGCGAGGAACGATTTCTGGATGAGAGCAGAAGAGATAAAATATGTATACGTCTATATAGATGCCGGGTGTCACAGATTTTGCGCATCGAGATTTATTTTCGACGAATTAATGGCCTAGCGGTAATATTCAACGACGAATAAATTCATATTGGTCCGAAAGATACGCGCTATTCGCGTTTCCTTTTGTGTTAGTTATCGACCTCTCCTGAATACATTCCCGTGTTCGCGAATATCCTTTGAACCGATAATTCGCACATTATCGGAACGCCGCAGAAACATCGTGTTCTTTTATTCATTCTGTGCGAGCTTGGAATTCCACGACAGTTCTTCGAGGCGCGTTCGTTCGGAACACCTGACACGCTTCAGGACGCGGAGACGAGCGTCCTAGATTCGAACGGATGACATTGGGAAACGTCTGGCACTGTAAGACTGAGACATCTACGGCCGAATTTCCTCCGATGTTCGAGGACGTCCGTTGCAAAGACGTTCGTGACAAACGGCGGCGCCTGTTGGAAAACCGCGAAACGGAGAGAGGAAACGAAGATGAGAATCGTGAGATCTGTAATGGTCAAAATAAATATCCGAGGAATTTCCATTATCCGAAGGCAATTTCGCGGCACCTCGGACAGCACCGAGGAAAGAGGAAAAACTAAGGAAGAATGATATCTATAGAAAAAAGAGTCGAGATCTTGGAACCGGAGACATTTGCTCTCGACGTGGTTCGTTGAAGCGGATAAAAATTATGATGAAAGTAATTTACGCCCGTGGCAATCTTTGACGTTAAAAGAGATATCAAAGAACGGGAAAATTCAACGAATCGTAGTCTAACGTTAAAAGAAACGTTCTATCCTATCATTTCCTTGTTGAAAATTAAACCTACGTTGTTTCTTTTAAAATCTATTAAAAAATAATTGCCATCAAGATTTAATCCTTTCTTCATAGTTCTTCACATTTTCTTGTAATAATCGAATTTACATCAGGAACGATCACTATGTATACACGTTCATGTATTTGTATTTAATAACTTGCGAATGCTCCTCGGTGCACGTGTAACGACGACAAGCATCCGTTAATATTCACTGACGAACCCTCCTCTCAATATCCTGCGCGAGAACAGAAACCGCAAGGCCGCCCTCAAGGAATCAATAAGAGGGTTGCTAATTTCAGTCACTTTGCGTAGACCAGCCAATACGCGCGATGATACTTCATCGTCTGACTTGTAAAAACAAACTGGACAGTCGTTCTAATCCGATTTTATAATGAACGAATGAAATACTACTATAATACTATAATTGAGACGCATAAAATAATACTATAATTAAGACGCACGAATGGCAGACTGTATTTTAGTATTACTGCAACGACGTTTTTCCAAATTAAGGAGATTTTGTTTTTTGTTTTATAGGAATGCCAGCCAGAATTCTTACACGATCTGGTGCTAAAGATGAAGGCTTACATATTCACGCCGGGCGACTCTATATGTCGGAAGGGAGAAGTGGCCAGAGAGATGTTTATAATAGCTGACGGGATTCTAGAAGTTATTAGCGAAACGGGCAGAGTTTTAACAACCATGAAGGCCGGCGACTTCTTTGGCGAAATTGGAATTCTTAATCTAGACGGTTTAAATAAGTAAGTACACTTAGAAACGAACCTATTTCCAATTATTATAACTTATGATCTTCAAATTTCATATAATATTAGGTTTACCGGAAAGTTCTGTCCATTTTTGGAATAAACCAAAATACAAATTTTTCTTACCATCAATAAACTTTATTAAATAATATAATTGCCATTATTATTAATGATTTCTTGCCAACGCGAGGGCAATTTGTATATCCCATTTTTCAAAAATGTTTTATCTTTTCATGCGAAAAATTCAACTAGTGCTTGTTTCATATCTTCTTCATTTTTCAATTTTTTTCCCTTCAAAAAATTTTTTCAACCATCTTCTGCATGTCCTATCAGAAACTGTACCTTCACCAAACACTTTCAATAAAATTTTACATGTTTCTGTAGCATTTGTTCCTTGTTGAAATTCGTATAAAATACAGTGGCGTAAATGAAGCTTATCAGTAGCCATGGGTACACTATGGCTTCACACATAAGACTAACGTGAATCAACTTTGTTTTAGTTAATTTGCTACGTGAGTATGTATAGATTAATTGTTAAAAATAGAGAGGCACACATGCGCTTAATAAACATGTGCTTACGTGTTGAAATTTATTGTGAAAGAAATGGACAGGATTTCCGGTAGACCTAATATATCCTCCATTGGCGTTCATAAATTTCTGACTCGTTAAGATACGTATTTATATATACATAAATGAATATCAACGAAATTATGAGCATAATCTCCCTGCTTGGCGCAGTCAATTTCACCCGATTGTAGACTGCAATTAACTGTCAAATGTTACTGAAAACGAGCGCGTTGAATTAACATAATCCCGCCTGGACGTTTCAATATCCGCGGCGAGTTAAGACCGAATTGTCATCGACGCGACGGTTTAATTAGTTCCGATAATCAGATATCGCGAAATTGGATGCGCGGTTTGAAACGCCAGTGAGATATAATGTACGCTGGTACAAATGGGAGAAGTATTTCTCTTCCGCGAATTCGTTCCTTCGATTTGTTACTCTGTCTTCCGGTGAACGATCGCTCTGCGAGTTTAGTAAATATATCGCGTGCAAGCTGCGGTTTTTTGTTGCGTTTGATGTATGGACCCGGGACGAAAAATTTATACGGGCAACGTGTAGTTGAAATATAATCTGCCACGGTGCAAATGTGGCAGCGTTCAAAAACTGTAATCAATAATGCACACCTTTCAACTTTGTCCCCCTCGCTGCATGATTCCGACAGGCGTACAGCTCGTTCTATTTTTCTTATCCCATTGCTTCATGCATCACCCGTGCTCACACATACAATTTTTTTCATTACTTCTCAATCTCTATGAATGATGTTCTACATATTCCCTGATTTACTAGTTGTATCATGAAATGCTTTGAGGGTATTAGTGGGATATTAACGGCTCATCGAATATTTCAATCAGCGGCTAATCCCATTTGCGGTATCGTCTGGGACACGAACTTTTTTAAAACTTTGCCCCGAAGTCGTCGGATGAGTTTAACTTGATTAGAAAAATTGACCTAACGAATTTAAACCGTGGCAAAGTAACTACACAACTGCAGGGAGAATCGAATTAATAATGCAACCTGTTGTCAATTTTTTTCGTCCAATCAATTGTTCCTACCAATACATTAATTAGTACTTTTGAATATAAAAAAGAAAGTCGATAGGAAAATAATTGCCTAACACTAGATTGCCCAAGGAAGTCATTTTGACTGCTTTTGGGCAAATGTACGAATAATAATGCATAAATTATTTTTTCCCAAGTGAAGTAAATTTTTATTTTATTGTTAACATTTACTAATAACTTGTTACATGACTGTCAATAATATAAAAAATATTAAAAATTAATTTTAGACAAATCTCTTTACACATTATTCTTTCACAATGCAGTCATTTTGACTGCTTTTGGGCAATATAGGTATATACTAAGTTTCAGTCTTTCTAGTGTTAATGAATCTGAAGCTAATATTATAAAAGACTTTGAGTGAATTCGCACTTGCAGGCGCACAGCCGACGTTCGCTCGGTAGGCTATTCGGAACTGTTCAGCCTATCACGCGAGGACGTTTTAGCAGCGATGAAGGACTACCCAGAAGCGCAGGAAATCCTGCAAAATCTGGGTAGGAAACGATTGATGGAAGCGCAGAAGGTAGCCAAAGCTAGCAGGCAGCCAACGTCACCGGGGCACGATTCGTCGGACAATAGCACGGGGAAAAGGATCGTCGACAAGCTTAAGAGCGACGTGAAGGGTCTGAAGAACGTGTTGAGGAAAAGTAGGCGAAACACCAGGCCGGAAGAGAGCCTGGAGTTGCAACCTTTGACACCGAAAGCGCCTACGTTGAAGAGGCAGCAGAAGGTCGACGACAGCCACGAGCCCTCGGCGCCGATGGCGCAGGAGCCACCCGTGTCACCTTTGGGTGCTGGTCTCCCTTTGCTCGCCAGATTGAGGCTGTTAAAGGAGAAAGAGGAACGCGAAGAACGACGAACTCTGATGGAGACCCCGGTACACACCCCTGAACAGCAACAACCGCCTGCAGAGGCACAGAACCCTATGAACCCGAATTTACCATTTCTCCAAAGGATATTATTGTTAAAAGCGAAGAACGAGCAGGAGATGAAGGAAGCGGACAAAGAGGCGCCGATTAAAGAGCCGTTGCTGCCTGCAAACGCTATACCCGAAGAGTCGCGAGAACAATCGCCGAAGCCGGCGCCGAAGCCGCCGCCGAGGCAGGCGTCGGTGCAGAGCACGACCGGCGGGGAACAACCGGGACGATCGTCAGGTAGTTTGGAAAACGCGAACGGTTCGAACTTGAAGAAACCTTGGGCGATGCTTAAAGACGCGTCGTTGACTAACAAGGAGAACTCGCCGCAGAGGAGTCCGCCGCAGAGGAGGCTGCACTTGAAACAGAGTTTGGTGCACATCCGACAGCAGACGAAGATGTACGCGTCCGTCGACGATCTGTCACCGGAGTACTGCGGACTACCGTTCGTTAAGAAACTGAAGATACTCAACGAGAGGCAGAAGTTGGCGGAACTCGAGAAGGCCGTGAGGAGCTCCAGTTTGGACTGCGGGGACAACGCTGAGATCGAGTTCGATGGGAACTTGACGAGGAGCCACTCGGAGGCCTGCGCCATTGAGTACGCGAGGAAGTTAGAGAAATTCAACCGGGTGAGTCGAACACTTTATTCTATCGCGTGACGTACTTTTAAATAAAATGGAATGCGTTCTGAATTAAGAGGAATTAGAAGATACGGTTACGACTCTGTTGATTCTGGTTTCGAATCGATATCAGGATCGTAAAATATCGCGTGGACGTGCGTCGAAACATAACGTTAATTGACGTTGAGCAATGAATCCAATCGCGATGAATTTAGATTCTGCGGCATTGTATTTCACCCTAGCGCATTATAGCTAATTAATAGTTAATACCAGTTGCTAGACAGCCGAAACTCTCTTGATGTATTCAATTCTGTACGTAGAACTTCTATGTTTCAACTTCTACATGATGCACGTGTTTGATTAAACCAGCCTCGACGTTCTATTCAACCAGAACCATACGATTTGAATAATAAGTCAAGTTTCTGCGCGACCGAAACGAAGAATTGTACTATGACATATTTCTATGCATATTTTCTGTCCGTGTACGTCTCCGAATTTATTCGGTGTTATCGAAAAATCGTGCTTGCAGAATCGACAATCGATGGTTTCGCCGACGGATCAACTCTCCCCGGAGAACGAGACACTGGAGAGGCGGAATTTGAAGAGCATTTTGAAGAAATTGTCAGCCGGAAGCCGAACCGGTAGCTCGGAAACGTCGGCGACGAGCACGCCGGATCGCGAGGCGGCCACGGCCGAGTTGAGAAAATTAATGAGGGCACCGACGATCGAGGGTTACGCAGCGCGTCACTCGAAACTCTCGAAGAGCGTGACGTTCAACAAATACACGTTGCAGAGCCCACCGTCCGAGCAGATCCCGGGGAATTATCCGCTCGGGTCTCAGTCGGCCGAGTCCCAGGAGCAGGCCTCACTGCCACCGCCCAATAAACTCAGTTTCCGTCCTTTGGGCAGCGGAGGTATCCTGCAAGTGGTGTCTCGGCCCCGGGAAGAGGAATACTTGGGGGAACTGGTCACTGGTATCAGAGAAATCGTCAAGGGTCGTCTGGTGAGTCTCCCTTCCGACAAGTTTTTACTCCCAAGTTTCGCAATAATAATGAAAACCGCAAATTCTGAACAATTCTCGTCTCGTCACAAAAGTTATTGCCAATTCCCAACTAATAGTGACTACTCCGGGTAGTAAATCAATTTATAGTCTACGACCGACTCACGGTTATTTAATATGTAACTTCATACACGCAGAGAATCCTCAGTTTCGTGTAATTTCCATATGAGATATCGAGCTTCAGTACTCGGAGCAGAGCTTCCCGGGAAGTTTACTTTATAGCGTGATTCCATTTGCATACTACTCTCTGTTTACAAATCGCTAATATATTGCTCGTTACGTTCGACCGAACTTGTTTGCGCTCCGTTAATTTCTCCCAAGAGATGATAATTTTATATCGAACGAACGTGACGGAATTTCAAATCGATCATATGTAATGGAAAAGAATCGACGACGAGTTGGAATTAATGTGCGAAATTGCAGGAGGATATCCAGACGAAGTTCGAGCGACAGTTCACCTCGCTAGAACTGGAGATTCGCAAACGGGACGAGATAATATCTCAACTGCAGACGAGGATATTAGAACTGGAACAGAGGGAAGCGCGGAACGCGGACGATTCGCTGGGAGACAGCACGGAGCACGACGCCTCCCTCGAGGAGGACCTGGACGACGACCGGGAGGATCACCCGTTCATGAGGGACGGCTCGGTGGACACGGTACTGACCACTCGACCGCAGTTCCGACGCTCGTCCACGGAGTCCAGCTCCCACAATCGAAAGTCATGGGAGGAGCACTCCGAGGAGGAGACGTTGCAACTGCAAGAGCTACCGACCTCGATCGTTCCACAGAGCCTGTGGAAGGACGACGTCGCGATCGATCTGGAGTCGAACAGCGAGAGCAGCAGGTCCGACGACGAGTTCGAAGAGAAACGGAGGAGCGGACGTCGGAGGAGCGACAGCGAGAACGACGGTGACAACGAGGGCGACGACGTTCGCCGGGCGGGTCACAACAACTGGGAGGTGGTGATGCTCGCCCAGGAACTCGAAGCGAGACGGAGGAGCACCGAGAACGCGAATCCGGGTTCCTAGCGCATTAACGAGATTCTAGATGTACTGTGTTACCTGACCAGCACCCTCCATCCCGAAGGGTGGTGCAACAGGCCGGCAACCAGCGACGCGGCCATCTGCGAGAACGATTGCCCTTACTTGCAGTTAGACTTCGATAGCATGACCAGTTGCAGGGAGACCATGATGTAAAACTAGAACCGTTACCGGTATATCGGTCTCTCTTCGAATCACCGACAATCGTCTGTACGATCGTAAGGCAAAACGGTGTAAGTCATGCGTGATCAGTTTCTAACACCGTCCTCCTTCTATTATTCTCACCGACAAATGACAATGATAATAAATCATGTGATTCTTTTCAATTTCAGAATCAAGTCACTGCGCTCGAACGGAAAAGAGTCGCCTTAATTTTCTCACGTGATTTGTATCGTTCTATCTTGCAGATACTCGACGCCACGTTCATTTATATTGTTAATAAAAATGAAATATGACATAAAGATGTTAACGATTTTTGATAGATTGTCGATGATCTCGAAGCGACCGGACACCGAGAACTTGTTACTTACTCTCTGATGAAATACGATGGATGTTTTCTTTTTTTACGAAGCAATATGTACCTCTATCTATCGTTTCACGAGATACTCGTTAATAACGGACAGTAAGATAGATTCTATAAATCTGTTACTATACGGAAGAGATATATCTACTTATGCATACGAAATACACGTACACAGGTATACATATTATTAATTATATTCATGTACAGATGTACGAGTACGAGGAAAACGATTTTCGTTCCCATTACATTCGAGACCTTGATTAAGAATTCTACATATTTTACATAGAGGACTTCCACAATTTTTTCATTCACCCGTTTCGCCTTTACCCTAAGAAAACTATTGAATTCGTCTCTCGTCTTCCCGCCACCCAATCCCTCTCTCTATTTATGCAATCATTCAACAAGAAAACAATATATACACAGTGGAAGTATAACGATTCGAGCGAAAAGGAAGAGGAAACGAGGAAAGATACGCGCATACATACATGGACACGTATATAATTTAATTAAAAGAGAAAAAAAAAACGAAAAAGGAAACGAGAAAAGCTAATGGGAATTATATGTATAACGACGTATACTGACCAGACCAAGCTCAATATTTCTAGAGTCTTTACAAAATGAATAAATCTGTTAAGGTGACAAATGGACAAATGTGACTATTAAAATTAAGTAAGGAGAGGAAATCTATCGAGAAAGGTTGTACATACTAGCCTATAATTTATTTATCTATGAATGCGAGGGGAAAAAAGGGGGCGAATGATGATGGAACGTACGTCTAATAATATAGAGGAGAATCGGGGAGGGTAATGCAAATTATATTTCGTATGCGTGATAGAGAGAGAACGAGCGCGAGAAAGAGGTTCGGCGAAGGAGAAGAGAGAAAGAGAGGGAGCGAGTGTGAGTGAAAGGGAAGCAGAGAGAGAGAGAGCGAGTGAGAAAGAGAGATGAAAAAACGAGGAATCCGTAAGGGAAGGAGAAAGAATTTCGCGTACTATTACGGTGGAAAGCACGTTAGATGCTGATATGTACCTAACACGCGAATGAGAAGAGTATACAATAAAGAAACAAATGTTTTCAACTGTCGTATCACCTTTTTACATCGCCCGATACGATCGATCGAATTTATATCCACCGAGGGTTTAGACGTCGACTACTTATTTTTCTTATACATATTGCATGCATAGAACGTTATGTAATACTTACTTCCTTTCCATATAGAATATATGTAGTACACTTCTACACTTTATAAACGCGAGTCAACCACGATCTATGAGATCGTGGTAAAAAGAAACGGTACAAAAAAAATCGCGAACCTTGTCATACTTATATGTAGGAAAAATTAATTGTTGCAAAAGTTATTTATATACTTACTTTATTTTAATATTACCTTTTGTCAGCTGCTTCATTCCAAGCAATAATCTTGAGCAACACACTCGTTTCACGAAACATATTTTAAAACGTACTTATGCCCGTGCACAAATTGTAAAACGATACGTGACTTGCAAGGACAGCAAACGATTCTAAAATCTTGTCCATACAATTCGTATCCAATGCACAATTTGTACAAGTATAAAAGATCGCGTTTATTTCGGTTTATTTAAAAATTTTCTGTTAAAATATTACGAGCTACTTACACGCACGTCGAATTCAGCGGAGCGGCGGCCATCTTTGATAATCGAATCGAGCGCGCGGTCGACTACGCCGTCGATACATGTCGAACGGTATCGCTCGACTCGACAGCCAGCGAGATACGTAGCTACATAACCATGCGATCATAATAATAACAAAAGCGTCGCGACTGTGTCTCGTTATCAAAATACTTATTGCGTGTGCTCGGACTCGGTTGGAGATTCGTCCCGTTGTGATGTGGAAAACGTGATTTACCTGGGAGTTTTTCAAGGATGGGCGACATTAGGGCCGGGCTCGAGGAATTAAAGCTCGACGGTGCCCTGTTCGCCGACGTTAAATACTACGTCAGCGGCGAAGGTGATCCCAAGGTACGTGTCATTCCACCGTTTCCCGCGTTTTCCCCTCGGCCGTGACGCGAACTCGACGATTCCGCGGTAATGATTCCGTCGCATAGTAATTCTTGGAAAACGCGATTCCTCCCGCTGTTTTTCGATATTACTCGCGATTCCTGCGCGACGAGGTTATAATATGGAGTCAATTTCAACGCTCCGTGGCGCGATGCAAAGATTTTTTGACACTCCGCGTCGCACTTTCGACGTACGGTATCTCCTTGTAATAAATAAATTGCAACCAGCAACAAACCGTTGTATGAAACACAGTCAGCCTGTTTATTTACGTTTCTGTACGTGTTTTGATCCTGAGAGAGGCGCCGAGACGATGTTTAAGTGTATATGTGAGTGCGTGATGCAAGTACCCAAGAAAACATTGTCTTTAACAATTTGCAGATTTTAAATTTGTTACAAGAGGGAGGTGCAGAGAGATCAAACTATTTTAGTGACTTTGTTACGCATTTAATAGCGGGCTATGACGCACTGGAAGATGATATCTCAGGCGCGAAGGATATCCATGAGATACCGTCAGTTACACAAAATTGGATTCTCTATTCAGTTAAATGCAACAAACTTCTGCCGTATCCTAATCAATGAATTTATTAACTACCTGTAAATAATGTACTAACGCCTCTTACGATTAACTTAAACTGTAATGCGTTTCTTCCCCTTAACGATGCTACGATCTGCGTAATTAAAATCACATTGGAATCTGATAATTTCCTTAGCAACAGTGTCGATACAGGACGCACTACTTCTCACCTGAGGACACGCAACTATTTTCAAATGTCAGAGCGTGTGTCTCTCAGGTAAGCCGGGCGGACAGCAGAAGTCTGTGGGCTATGATCACGCTCCAAGGGGGTAAATGTCAATTACGTTTAGATCGGTATTGTACTCATTTGATCACCGGGAAAGCTGCTGGACTGAAATATGAAACGGCGATGAGACATCCCATTCAAATCGTAACACCGGACTGGGTAACAGAGTGTTGTAAAAAGGGAACGATTATAAGCGAGGTAGAGTATCACCCGAGGTTATTAGTATACTCGAACAGTTCTACGGCGTTAATCACCGGCTTCATGGACGAGGATACGGATAACAATTCCGCGCAAGAGGAACAGGACAGGACCAAAGCTATGCTGGAACAATTGAAGCAAAGAATGCCATGGAATCAACCGAGTCCACCGATATCTTCGAATCCCTCGCACAACGTGAATACCGCTAACGCGACAGTATCGACGATCTCTTATACGACGAACGGCCAGAATAACGCCGGTGTTCAACAACAGCAGCAGCAGCAGCAGCATCTTCCGCGACAGATCCCTGCTACGAGTTTATCCAATGCTTCCACAATCGCGTCTTCTGTCTCCGATCAAAACATGACGCAAACCAACTGGCCACAGGCTTCTCAGCAGAATAATGTTACCCAAATGAAACCCGTGCCGCCGCAGATACAACAATCAGAATTATCCCCTCAACAACAACAAATGAACATACAACACACGCTACTCCAGCAGCAGCAGCAATTAAATCAACAACAGCAATTAAATCAACAGCAGTTGCCTCAGCAAATGACTCCGCACCAACAATTACAGCAGCAACAATACAGCCAGCAGCTGTTGAACCAACAGCAATCTCCACAATTGACGCCTCAACAGCAACTGATAGGAACGCAGCAACAACAATTGCCCCAGCAACCGATGATATCGCAACAGCAGCAGTTAAATTCGCAGTTGCCCCAGCAATTATTGACCCAGCAGCAAAAACAGTTGACTCAACAAATGATTTCCCAGCAGCAGATTAATCAACAGCATTTGACGCAGCAGCAGCAGATCACCACCCAACAACAATTAGTGCAACAGGTGCAGCAGCAGCAAATTGTTCTGCAGCAGCAGATACCTGGCCAGCAGCAACAGATCGGAGCGCAGCATCAGTTAAATCAACAGGCTCCGCCCCAGCAGTTAACGTCTGAACAGAGGCAACTGATATTGTTACAGCAGCAGCAGCAGCAGCAAAAAATTCAACAAATATCACAGCAGCTGCAACAATCCGCGCCTCAAGGCTCGCAACAGTTCGTTCTAAGAGACGGCCAGTTGCAGCAGCAGCCGCAGAACCAGCCGTTGATGGGTCCTAATCAGCAAGGTTTCATAGTACAAAGGGATCCGCAGTGGCAGCAGCAGCAGTACCATTTGCAATTACAAAGGCAACAGCAACAGCAGATCGGACCTCAACGTCCGAGCGGCCAGTGGACTCAGCAGCCGCCGCAACCGCCGCGACAGTTAATTCAGTTGGACGCGCAAACGCATCAACAGCTGCAACAGATGGATCCGCAGCAGCGAGCTCAGTTCATTCAGAAGATTCAGAAACAGAGATTGCAGAGGCAAATGCAAAACCGCCAGGCCCAGCAGGGCGCGCACATCGCTGTTATAAGAAGTCCAGGGAAGCCGGTCCAATTGGGGATGCAGTGGGTTCAACAGCCTCGCCCTCAGATGATAGGCCCTCAAATCACGCAGACGCCGGGACAGAAGCCAGTCCATCCTGGTGTTCAACCCCCAGCTTTGACACCGATCAATTCTTCGAATCCAGTCGTCGTTCAAACTGGACAAACTGTGCAAAGTCCTCAGGCCGGCCAGCCGGCTCCGGCGTTCCAACAGGGTCAACCTCTGACTCCTCAGCACATAGCCCAGCTGCACATGCAGAAGCAACAGCAAATGGCCAGGTTGCAACAACTGCAGCATTTGCAACAGCAGCAGCAGCAGCAGCAACAACAACAGCAGCAACAACAACAGCAGCAGCAGCAGCAGCAGCAGCCACAAGGCGCGCAACAGGAACCTCCGTTGGCGTCTCTATCGAACAACGCTCAGATACCACCGGATCAACAGTTGGTCGTTAACGCGAAAACGAAGACCGCTTTGGCAAACATGTTAACGAACAGATTGCAAGGTAGTGCGGCCGAGGGCAGCGCGGCCGGTCAATTGAGATTAATGACTGCCCAGCACAGGCCGCCGCCGCCGCCTTCCCAGGATCCGCAGCTCCTGGCGGCGTATCAACGTAGACCCGTCGGGAACATCACAAACGGGGCGCCACCGGGTACACCGATAAAAATGCAATACGCCCCAGTGATGCCTCAAGCGAAGGCTCAGTTTTACGGCCACAATCCCAATCTGAAACGTATGATTCATTACATTCTTTTTCTCTCAGTGTTCTAAGCTTGATCCTTCGCTTTCTCTTCTCTTATGACAAATAACGCATGGCTGTCTGTATTTCCAGTGCCGCCAGATCTGTTTTTACTGGGTTGTATCTTTGTCATCGTTGAATACGATGCGCAACGGCCGAACGACGTTTCCACGTGGAAACAGGTGATCGAGAGACACGGGGGCGAGGTGGAACCGCAGTACTGCGCCCGTGCCACGCACATTCTCGCGATCACGCAGAAACATCCGACGGTGGTGCAGGCGCTACGCGACGGGAAACGTTGCGTCAGTGCCCACTGGCTGTCGGATGTTGTCAGTAAACAACAGGTACTGCCGCCTTCGCACGCGTTGCACTTCCCGACGCCGTTCAGCCTGACGGAGGTCCCGTGCGCGAAACAAATCGTTTCGCTATCTGGATTCGAGGGGGAGGAACGTGCGAAGGTGAAGTACATGCTGGAAGCGTTGGGTGCCAAGGTCACTTGCTACTTCACTAGGCACAACACCCTCCTCGTTTGCAGAAGGTAGAGACCATAATTACTTAAACGCCGTCGCTTGTCTGTACTCGTTTCGTAATTGAATTATTCCTTTGACGATCGTGCGATGAAACGATATATCATATCGAAACCGTGTAATTCGACGAACGAATACGTTTCAGACCGGACGGTCAAAAGTATAAAAAGGCCCGGGAATGGCAAACAGCCGTGGTAAACGCGCAATGGTTGACGGACTTGTTGTGCGGGCAAATGAACACTCTTCATCAAATCGAAAACCCGAAATATCAACAGTACAGTCTGAGCAATCCGTTTAGATTGGACTACTCGCTAGTGCCTCACTTAATGGGTACCGTGACATTCATCAATTATCTTTCCTTTCCTCGAAGAAAAACGATCCGCTCTTTCCTTCCTTCGATTCGATCACTCCGTCCGTATTAAAATGAGACTTCTTTCAGCTGCATGGAAAATGCCTATAAATATTACACAGGAGTCGTACGATAAGGTGAAACAGGTTGGTCAGGGTCCAAACTCGATAAGAAAGTATAAGAAGCCGCGATTAGACGGGCCGTTGTTGAATAAAGATCCACATTTATTGGGCTTGGACGAGCCGATAGTAATTAGTAATCCCGATCCTCCGTCCCCGGATAAACAGCCGAGGATATTATTCTCCGGTATTAATCCTAGCAAACATGCAAAGGTATCACATATTCGCGAAGTCTACTGCTGGTCTATGCGATATGGATCGTCGTGAGTTATCATACTAATTACAATCATTCGTTTGACAGAGAATCCGGGAATTAGGTGGTGCATTGGCGGCCAGTTGGCGAGATGCCACTCATCTCGTGATGTCGGCACCGATAAGGACTATAAAATTAATGTGTTGCCTCTCACGTTGTAAATATATTGTCACGTTACAATGGTTACTCGATTGTTTCGCGAGAAACACGTTTCTAGACGAAAGCGGATACATATTGGGTGACCCGGATTTCGAGAAGAATTTTAATTGTAATATTGAAAAGGCTTTGGCGAGCCCTAACCGTGGAACAGTACTTAAGGTGATCTTTTTTCATTGGTTACATGCATAATTAAATTAATTATCAATTCACTGATATATTAAGATTAATTAACTATCGATCAATTGCGATTGAGTTGATAAAAGTACCGCCATATGAAATACATAGTGATAACGATATTATTATTCTCCGCTTGACAACCTGATTTGCTAAATAGGGTAAAATATTTTATGTTACGCCAAGCGTTATACCATCGCCGTCAGCGATGGCTGAGATAATCGACAGCGCAGGTGGAACGATGGAAAAGACACGGAGGTCTGTGGCACAAATCCAAGAAATGAATAGTAACAAATTAACTTATATCATTGTCACGCATAAGAACGATCTTCATCTACTTTCCGACGTCGTACGAGCAAATATCAGTAAGTGGAGTCCGGTGCGCGTTCCTACTCGAACGTATTTCGTATGCTTGTTTTCTCATACCTTCTCTTTTTTAAACGTAGGTATGTTCAGTGCAGAAATCGTATTAGGGGCAGTTGCACGACAATACTTCCAAGTGGAAATCTGAAAACAATCTCGATAATGGTGCATTTCGATCCCTGATACGAGCTTGCTATGTCGGTTAGCGAGCTATTTTCGAGGCGAACATTTTTGCTTACCTTCTTCAATGGGACAATAAAGAACATAATTTTATGATACAAGGAGGAGATATTTTCACTGACAAAAAGAACATTCCAAAAACCTATCCTGTTCGTGTATCATATTTTAAAGAAGT